TTCGAGCCCCGCGTCGGGCTCTGTGCTGACTGCCAGCTCAGAGCCTGGAGCCTGTTTCAGTCTGTGACTCCCTCTCTCTCTGACCCTCCCCTGCTCACGCTGTCTCTCTCTCTCTCTCTCTCCTAGAAATAAATAAAAATATTTTTAAAAAAAGAATATATAAAAAAGAAAAGCTGTCTTTGACAAATAAATTGGAGAGGAGACAGTAGAGGTAAGGAGACAAGGTCAGGAGGCTATTTTTAAGATCAGATGGAAGATGAAAATAGTTTGGTGGTACTATAGGGGAGATGGAAAGAGTGGCAAACTTGAGAGATATTTGAGGATTTGGTGATAGGTTTGTGTGTGGTGAGGAAAATTGGGAAGCATTTATGGTAATTCCTGGATTTCTAGCTTATGAAACAAGATAGAAGTAAGAGTCTGAATATACAGATAGACAATAATGTGTCCAAATATGACAATAGAACTTTGACTCACCATCTTTGTAGCAACCAGGTCAGGAATCTAAACCACATCCTTTGTAGCGAACAGCCCAGAATGATCAGGGCCTGGTCAATGATCCTTACTGGTGCCTATTTTCGCCCCCACTTCCAACGCAGGACCAACCAGAGAAAGACAAATATATTCCCTAAGCCAGTCACATAGGATGCCCTGTTTGTAGTTAGGTCATCTCCAACTTCCGCATGCCAGCAGCCTTGAGTCAGAACATACTGAAATCCTCCTCCACACCCTCCCCCCACCCCCAAAGCTTTAACACTCCCCTGCCTTTGAGTGTCTGCCAAATGCAAGTGATGGTGGCTGCTGACTCCCAATAACAAGCTCTGAATGAATAGCCTGGGTGTATCCTCATTTGAGTAATCTTTATTTCTATAATTTATACCTTCACTGTGAGAGGGCCAGAAGAAGAGAATAGAGAAGACTATCTTCAGTTCTAGACACTTAGATGAGAGGATGCCTTTGAGATGCCTCAAAGGAGGTGCCAGGTGTAGGGCTGTATTATGACCTGCATATCCTAGGCATTTTTGCCTTTCTGGGCTCTTCCTTAAAATAGTAAGAAAAATTACATTTTATGACTGAGTTCATATAAAGATGGACGTATTATCATTACATATTGAAAACAATTTTTACAAAGTTTATTTTTTCTTTATCTTTTAAAACTAAAACATTTTGTGAGCTGTAGGCCTTGAGCCTACTGTGCCCAGTAGGACAAGTCAGCCTTGTTCAGGTAGGCAGTCTTTAAATGGGTGTCTGTTGTAATGAGTAGACCTGTCTGCTGAAGATTAATATGTGCAAGTCACCACCGTTAGGTATGACTGATGCCACAGGGTTGAGGATAGGAGGGTGAGAGAAGAGGCACTAGGAAGGTGTGAACTTTGACTTGATATTTGCTGATATTGAGGAATTGCTATTAATTATATTTAGTATGGTATTGGTATGGGGGTTACGCTTTCAAAAGCAGTTCTTTTAGAGAAGCATGCTGAAACATTTGTATGTGAAGGGATATCTGGAATTTGCTTTGAAATAATCCCAACCAAAGAGTGGATAATAGTGTGAGTTGATTGTTGAAACTAAGCAATTAGAAGAGAGGGTTCATTATAGTATTCTCACTTCTATTAGATGTGCATGAAGCTTTACATAATAAAGTGCAAAATGGAAGGGAAGCAATAATGGACAGTTACAGGTCTCACTGTACTTTCAGTCAGGTTTGCTTTGCTCCCACGTGTTTGGTATAAAGGATGTTTAAGGGGAGAAATCAAGGCAACTTGTCTGTACACCATGTCTAGGGACAGTGTGGAGCAATGGCATGTACAAAATGGTGAATTAATTTATAATTTGGTGGAAATAGGATTGTGCAGTTACAACCCACTAGGAATAAGGTATATAAGATAAACTGGTGCTCTCACTCCAAATCCAGGGGCATTGGAGGGACTCAGGACTTTTACCACACTTATGGCACAGGAAGGATCTTAAGGTAATTCTTTTGAATCTTCAAAGGTCAGCATGCCTCCATTTTACCTCTAGGTTGCAAATGCTTGACACAGGAGATGTGAACAATAAGTGGGAAGAAGATATTAAAGACTTGTTAACCTGGATTTGGTTGAAGGAAGGAAAATGGTAACATAAATGTTAAATAGCTTTCTGCAGTCAAGGAGAGAGGGGGTCAAGGAGGCTGGTCCTGGAATGAGGCTTCACCAAATATTAGCTCTGCAACCTTGTACAAGTTATCTTTTCAATGACAAGGGGCTAACAGTGTTTAATGTTGGGATTGGAAAGTTTCCAATAAATTACACCCCTCCTTTTCTTCCCTGAGTTCAGAAACAATTGAGAAACCCAGGCAGATGGAATTCAAAATAACTCATTTACAAAGGGCAGAGCTGTTTGGAGAATGTGTTTTTGGTAAACCAAGTGGATTTGCTAATGTACCCCTCCTCCTGAGTTGAATTGAGCCCCAGACAGGACTATTCCACAGGGCACACATATCCCCAGAGCAGATAGAATGCTCTCAGCCTATGGATTTGAGATCTCAAAAAGGAAGAAATGCACTCCTTCTCCTAGATGCATAGGAGAAGAGTCACTGCACCCATGGGTAGAAAGAAATAGGGGTGGGTGAGGGCAAAAGGCAGGAATTTTTTCCTGGGGAATTCTTCCTCTCCACATGTAGCAGGAGCACTGGGAAATATTCATCTGTAACATTTACCTCTTTGGGTTCTTGTGAAGTACATATCCAGTACATAATTACATTTTGTTTTCTTAATCATTATTAGTGGATATTAAGAAATTTCTCATGCCTTTCTGGTTAATAGA